CATAGGTGACCCTCACATATTGCATAATGGTGGGGTCAGCAGATGCTAGAGTGAGAAGTGTGTTCTTCCTTCAGTAGACAATGGGTAGACATTTAACAAGGGGCTCAACATAATCAAAGTAATGCATTAAGAATCTGATGTGTGATCAGTGATGTGTGGATTAATTGGAGGATTATATGTGTCATACTGAATCCTGGAAAAAAGGTTGCAGAGATTAGAAAGGATTATGGAGCTGCTGGAGTAAAACCCATCCAGGTTTACAACCATTAAAACATCAGATCAAGACCCTGGGGGAAGGACCTACAAGGATATCTCCAGGTTAGCTGGTAGCATAATTACCCAGTGTTTGTCAACCAGCTACGGAACTCTTCTACCTGACTGGACTAGTTTGGTTCTGGATATGGGAGTCCAGACTGGAGTGGATTTGGAGCATGAGTCTAGGGTAATGAATGGTTCCTAGACCCAGTTTAGTCTGGAGTAGAACTATCCCCTTGGGGGTGGGGGGGACCCATTCTAGAACAGTCCAATTCCTGACTGATCCACTTCAGATTGATTCTAATGCCTAGTGTCAACAGCCAAATTCTAGGCAAGAATGAATGTACCAAGACACGTTCATTAGGTCGAAATTTTGGAAAGGTGAAACTGTCTTTCATGCTTAATTTATTTCTGAGACTTGTTTTGTTCTGATTACAACATGCATTTAAAAGATGCTGCCCTTCACTTTCCAATCTCCTTTCAGCCTTTGTCAGTAACCTTGTGTGCTCTCCACAGGTGGTTCCATTTGTAATCCATTTGACACAGCAAGACCATCATAATTAATGCAGCTCCCTGCAGCCCTGCCAGCGACCCAGGATGTAGGGCAGGAGAGGCACTGAAGCCATGGAGAGGACAGCAGGCTGGCAGCCAGGAGACTGGGACATTGTGGGCAGCCTGCTTGAGGCTGTAGCAGAGCAAGGGCATTCATTTTCTTTTGTGCACCTCTTCATCTCCAGTCTTAAACTGGAAGGGTGGGAAGGAAAAGGCCCTGTTTAAACTGGAGGCATAATCACTAACCATAAAAATTCCTGCCCTTGGCCACCTTCCTTTATTTGTCACTGAAAATCAATTAAAGCAAACTGTGGTGGAATTAAGTCCTGATTGTGGGAGGAAAGGGGGAAAGATATGATTAAACCTTTGCATCCTAAAATACACAAGGGACGGTTTCTGTGCTGAGGACCTGGGTGGAGCCTGGAGGATGGAGGAATCTGAGCATGTCCCGGCAGCTACCCCAGGATTTGCCTGGCAGGACTGTCACGTGGTCAGGGTTTGGGGTAAGAAAAGGGGGACCAGGAGTGGTGTCTTTTCACTTTTTTCTCTTTGCTTCAAACACTCAGGTAAATGGAATAAAAAAATAAAGGAAATATGAAGCCAGAAAGAAAACATGGCTTTCTGTATGGTTTTCAACCAGGAAGAATTATGTTTTGACAATAAGGTCCTACAAAAAAAGACCTGGAATAAATTTTTCCACATTTCATCCCATACCATTTCTTGCATATGTTAACCTTGCACTATATAATAAACAAATCACCTGAAAGAGTGCCATGAAGGTCATGGGGAAGCTCCTATGGTCTGTTGTGGTGTATGCAGTCAGAGAGAGGAATCTGGCTGATTTGTTCATTAAAATGGTGCCATTCGTATCTGCCAGAAAAATGTCCCCAGAAGACCCAAGAGCCCTGTTCTCCTTCCCTTGGGCCTTCTCAGTCCCTCCATTCTAAACTCGCATCCCCCTTTCTCTGCTCCTCAGCTCCTAGTGACATGATGCTGTGAGTACCCACTAAACACGTAGAGAACAGAGATACACTGTCACATGCTAAGGGCTCCCATTTCTCCCCCAGATGAAGAAAGCCGACTTTCTCACAGGCCTTCCCCTAATTTAAAAAATCATTTTAAAGTCCTACTACATCATTTGCTTTTGAAAAAGTCCTTGCATCTCCTAGCTCTTTCCTTTAAATGGATTTAGTGTTCAAATCCTGGGTATCACTTATTTGGAGGACTCCCTTTTCACTCATGTTTTTACTCACAGCATCAATCATTAATTGCTATTACTATATTTAAAATATGTGTTTAAAACTATTTTTTCTGTTTATAAAAGTAATACAGTTATACAAAATATTTATATTATACTTTTTATGATGATAGAAATGTCCTAATACAGAGAAATTTCTGTATTTTCATTAATGCATGTTTCAAAAACTGTTGGATGAATTTTTCACCAAAGGTAGAGAGGCTATTTCAGATGGTTTGATTCAAAGTAGAAGCTACATGGCATGCATGAAATTCAGACTGTGCGGCCCCAGGCTGTCTTCCCCCTGGGCATCTGAATGTGGGGTACAGGGAGAGGGCCCTATGTTGTTGAATGGGGGAGACTTGCCAAACATACTAAGAATCTGAGAATGAGCCCCAAATCCAAAGTCCAAGGGATCAATGTTTTGAACCGCAGGGTCAAGATCAGCCAGTGGTAGCAGGGACTGTCTTATTTGATGGTGATTTGGTGTTTTCCTGAGCTCCGTTTGGAGGGCCAGCTGGGAAGTAATAATGATCACAACAGGAGTAAGCCTCAAGCATTGGTTGAGCATTTGTTCTCTGAAAGGTTGGAAGAAGATATATGACAGGCTGTGCTTCATTTAGTCCTCACAATAACCCTCTGATGTAGGTGATGCTATTTTCTCCTTTTCAGGGATGAGCAACTTGAAATCGCCAGAAGTTAATTAAACAACTTGTTTCAGGGCACAAAGCTGGTAAGTGGCAGAGCCAACAGCTGAACCCAAGGCTGGCCTTATTCCAAAGTCCTTGGTCCCAACCACCGTGCTTATTTCTAGCAAAAGTATTCCATGCCATAGCCAGGGGGCTTTCAGCGCTATAGCACAGTGCCAACTTCTTTAAAATGCTAGGTCTCCCAAACCCTACATCCAGGCTCAAGCCAGTCAGCCTCCTTCACCAGGGCCATCACGTTGGCTTTGAGGTGTCTGCTTCACCCATTCCTGGCCTCTGATTTCCTGACACCTGCCTCATCCCCTGCAGCTCTGGCCACTCTACTTCCCGGCCTCTTCGTCTGCAGTTCTCACTTCCACCTCTGTACCTTCTGCCACGCTGCTCCCTGAGCCAAAACACACTCTGACTCTGCTGCCAAATCCTCTCCCTCCTGGCTCTGGGCAAGCAGCACCCTGTCCTCCCTTCTGCCTGGGCTTTGAGCAGTGGGAACAAGAGGATTTTCTCTCCTGCCCCTAAAAGCCCTTTCCCCACCTGCTATGAACCATCCCTGAGGCTGATGCTTCACTGAAGGCTGCTGGGCCAGGAAGGCTTAGTGAAAGTGATTATTACTAGTCCTTGGTACATATCTTCAGACCCTGGGCTCCAAGCTGGATGCAGATTTTACATACATTTCTTGTTTATGCTGAGTATTATTCTACTATGTTCCAGGTATTGCTTTTGGTGCTAAAGATACAAGAGTTAACAAAAGCACATAGAGGCCCTAACTTATATTCTATGAATACCCCCTTTTCATTTCTGCATTAGGGGGACAGCTCTGGAGACTGCCTGGGATCACATCCTAGCCTTTCCACTTACAGTCTGTGTGACCTTGGCTAAGTTATTTAACCTCTCTGTGCCTCAGATGCCTGTAAATTGAGAAACTTTAATAGCATTTCCCCTCAAAGGTATTATTAGAATTAAATAAGTTAATATAGTTAATACATATAAAGTGTTTAGGATAATGGTTATGATATTGTGATTTACCATAAGAAATACATATTTGGCCTTCATTGTAGTTCCTGGCACAGAGCTTCTAAAACTCCTGGAATTTTTCAAGTGAGGAGAAATAAAGGTGTCTTTTATTTAGCTAATGAGGTGGTTTTTGGAAAATAGCTAAGGACGGGGGTTGGCAGCTAGAAGAACCAGCCTTGTGATTAGATGTTGGAGCTTTCAGTCCTGGCCCCTGACCTCTGAGGAGGGGAAAGGACGGAAGACTGAGTTCAACCACCAGTGGCTAGTGATTTAATCAACCGTGCCTGTGCAATGACGCCGCCATAAAAACCCAAAAGGATGGGCTTCCAGGTTGGTGAACATGTGGAGAGTCGTGGAGAGTGGTGTGCTGGGAGAGGGAGAGATGGAATCACCTCACCCTTTCCCCCACACCTTGCCCAATACATCTCTTCCATCTGGCTGTTCCTGAGGTATATCCTTTTATAATAAAGCGGTGATCTGGTAAGTAAAATGTTTCTCTGAGTTCTGTGAGCCACTCTAGCAAACTAATTGAGCCCAAGGAGGAAGCTCTTGGACCCTCCAATTTGTAGCCAGTGGAAGCATAGGTGATGACCTGGATTTGAGGTTGGTGTCTGAGATAGGGAGAGGGCGGTCTTGTAGGGCCCTTAGCTTGCAGGTCTGATGCTCTCTCCAAGTAGTGTGAGAATTCAGATGAATTGTAGGGACACCCAGCTGGTATCCAAGAATTGCTTGGTGGTGTGGAAAAATTCCCCATACATCAGAATTTAGTGCAGAATCATAGTGGCACATGGTTAAGTTCTCAATATATTAAGTAAAAATACTACTTATTTTAGATAACTAAACATCTAGATGGCAGGGAACTTCCTTTGGAAATGTCTTAAAGTCTCCTCCACTAGGCTATAAACTTCTTAAAAACAAGGGCCAAGTCTTCATTCCTTTTGTACCTGTCACACCTCGTGAAGTGCTTTCCACAGTATGGGAATGAATAAATCTCTTGACTGACAGGGACAGTGGAGGAGGCCTCTGTTTTGAGGTTAGAGTGTATCTCAGCTCCCCTCAAAGCACAACTGTTATCTGAGGGACTCCATTCTCATTATCGTTAGTTTCTTGAGGAAAGACAAATATATGCTCAATGCGTTCTTTCGTTTAAGAAAATTTGCTATAATTTCTCAAGAAACAAGTCCCAAGGTTATCATGTTAAAAACATTCCCTGCTTCAAAGAGAATGAAAAGACTTACCTTGATTTTTCAATGGTAAAGGCATAGTTTCCCTGAGTTTGCTTAAAAGGTTTTTCATTTCTCGCATGTCTCTGTAAATTTGATAAAAGAAAAAAAAATCAGCTGTCAACTTGGGGAATGCAAAATTCAGCTGTCAACTTGGGGAATGCAATCTTTAACAATCTGTTCTGTGAGACAACAAAGGATGGGTTTCTGTACCTAATGGTACTAGCTCTAGTTTCTTGTAGGCAAATACTGAATTAATTTTGCTTTTATAAGAAAAATGTCTGAGATGGGTTGACTCTGGAAGTAATGAGAGCTCCTCTGGCAAACATTTCCAGAGGAGCCCTCATCTCAGCCTTCAACTGGATCTGCCTGAGATCAGAGGAGGCTCTGGTAATGAGCACAGTACTTCATATTTACTAGGGGGAGGCACAGGACACACACCCGAGGTACTCTGGGCACATCTGAGGCTGGGGGATGTGTTCTCAAGGCCTATGGTCAGACACTGTGATGGCTGGGCAGGTTCACTTGCTGTAGTCTGCCGTTTCACTGTGATTGGAATTTGATGCAATACAGGTGTTAAGCATTTACAAGGGTCAACACTAAGTTGACTTGGAATGGTGGGAAACTGACACATTCTAAAACCTTCAGAGTAGAGTTCTGCACAATGGATGAAAGAGAGAGAGAGACAGGGAGGACTGGGGAGGAAGAAGCCCTGGGACACTGGGCCTTCCCTTAGCCGCTGGCACAAACGTAAGCCACCGCCTACCTGCAAACTCCCCTCCCTTCTCTGGGAGTACATGTGGTCCTAAAACCCCAGAACTGCAGAGCAGGAAGCCATCTACTAGGGGCCTGTTGGACTTTTCAAATTCTTGGGACAGTGGTTCCCCACAGGTGGTTGTCCACTGGAATCCTGGCTCTTGAAATCCCAGGACGCAGTCGTAGACTTCATTTCAAAGAGCAAAAATCAGATACAGCTTTTAGTTAACTCTAGAACAGGCAAGTAGTAGCAGGCACCAAAGGTTTAGTGAGACGATAATCATAAAGTTGAAGAAATTCTGTCAACGAATTCATTTTTCTTCTGCCATTTGAGGAAAGAAAGCCAACATGTGATTTTTAGGTTTAAATCCCTCAGGCCATTTCATCAAACACTGTGGAGTATAGTTTGAGGGCCACTTGCCTCAGGGGAGGCCAGAGACCCCACTGGGGTCTCCTCAAGTGTTGACTAATATGTGCAAGGGAGCTCTCAGGAATAGCTTGTTGGAAAAGGAGGGGGAGCAATCTTGTGGCAACCTGGAAACACATCTATAAAAACCTTCAGAATACCTTGGTACAGGTGTGAGGGTGTGTCAGTGGGGCACTGAGTGCTGATAAGCCCCAAAGGGTATTTCTAGAGAGGGAAGGTGGAAGTGGGGGAGGGGGAGGGAGGAGGGCAGGGCTCTATATCCAGAAGTACAAGGAGCATATTCTGTTTTCGTGTAAAATTCTCAAGGGCAGATGGGATGGTGGGAGGTGGGCAGGCATAAAATGGAAAGGGGCCAGGAACGCAGTATGTGAGGACAGAGGCAGGGTCTCTCCATTCTCGGCTGGCTGCTGGGCAGGAGACTCACCTGATGCCAAGGCCCCACCTGTCAAGAGCCTGATACAGGTGGTTTATGCTGGGGTTCAGGCATTAATATCCAAAAAGCCTTCCTGGTGATTTTAACGCACAGCCTGGTCTGAGACCCGCTGATCTCTTAGGGCAGAGAGACGGGGAGAACTGAGGAGGCGTCCCTCCCAGCTGAGGTCTGCTGTGCCTGCTTCTCTCAGTCGTTACTGCCTCCTTTGACCCAAATGTAGACTTTCAGGCTGAACTGTAACATTGTGGGCTATAATCTCCTATTCTTTTTTTTTAATTGAGGTAAAACTGGTGTATAACATTATATGTTTCAGGTGCACAACATTATAGTTTGATATCTTTATGCACTACAAAGTTTTTACCTCTAAAAGTCTAGTTACCATGTATCGTCCTACAGTCTGACTCCCTCCACGCATTTTGTCTACTCCCAAACCTCTTCTCTTCTGGTAACTACCAATTTGTTCTTTGTGTCTATGAGTTTTGGTCTGTTTGTTTTGTTTTTGTAGACACCACATCTGAGCAAAATCATGGTATTTGTCTTTCTCCGTTGGACTTACTTTACTTGGCATGATACATTCAAAGTCCATTTATATTGTTGCAAATGGCCAGACTTTATTCATTTTCTTAAATGGCTGAGCAGATTTCATTGTATGTATGTATGTGTGTGTGTATATATATATATATATATATATATACCACATCTTTATCCATTCATCCATTAATAGAAATTTAGGTTGTTTCCATTTCTTAGCTATTGTAAATAATGCTACAATGAACATAGACGTGTATATATTTTTTTGGATCAGTGTTTTTTGTATTCTTCAAATAAATACTCAGAAGTGGAATAGCTAGATCATATGGTATTTCTATACTTCTGAGGATCCCTCCCCCCCATATTTTCCACAGTGGCTGTACCAGTTTATATTACTACCAACAGTGTACAAGGTTTCCCTCTTCTCCACATCCTCTCCAACACTTGGTTTTTGTCTTTTTGATACTAGCCATTCTAACTTATGTGAAGTGATATCTCACTGTGATTTTGATTTATTTCCCTAATAATTAGTGATGTTGAGCATGTTTTCATGTGCTTGTTGTCCATTTATATATGTTCTTTGGAAAAATGTCTATTCGGACCATCTGCTGATTTTTTAGTCGTTTTCCTTTTTGTTATTGAGTTGTATGAATTCTTTAAATATTTTGGATATTAATCCCTTTTAGATGTAAGATTTGTAAAATTTTCTCCCATTCATTAGGTTGCCTTTTCATTTCAATGGTGGTTTCTTTCACTGTATAGAAGCCTTTTTATTTGATGTAATCCCACTTGTTTATTAGCTTTTGCTGCCTTTGGAGTCAGATCCACAAAAATATTGCTAAGACCATTATTGAGAAACTTATCACCTATGCCTTTCTTCTAGTAGTTCTATGGTTTCAGATCTTACATTCAATCAAGACTTTAATCCATTTTGAGTTAATTTTTGTGTATGGTGTAAGACAATGATCTAGTTTCATTCCTCTGCAGCTTACCTAGCACCACTTACTGAAGAGATTGATCTTTCTATATTGTGCGTTCTTGGCTCCTTTATCATAAAGTAATTGTACATTTATGTGTGGTTTTAATTCTCAGCTCCCAATTATGTTCTATTGATCTGCATGTCTGTTTTTGCCAGTACCATACTGTTATGATTATTATAGCTTTGCAATATAATAGGACATCAGGGAGTATACCATGTCTGGCTTTGTTCTTCTTTCTCATGATTGATTTAACTATTTAGGATTTTTTGTGGTTCCAAACAATTTTAGAATTATTTGTTTCAGTTCTATAAAAAATGCTGTTGGAATTTAGATAGAGATTGCATTGAATCTGTAGATTGCTTTGGGTACTATGGACATTTTAACAATATTAATTCTTTCAATCCATGAGCATTGAATATCTTTCCATTTATTTGTCTCTTCAATTTTTTTCATCAATGTCAATGTCTTTCACCTCCTTGGTTAAATTTATTCCTAGGTATTTTATTCTTTTTGATGCAATTATAAATGGGATTATTTTCTTAATTTCTCTTTGTGGTAATTCATTATCAGTACATAGAAATTCCACAGATTTCTGTATGTATGTTGATTTCTGTATCCTGTTATTTGCTGGATTCATTCATCCTAAGAGTTTTTTGCTGGAGTCTTTAGTATCATGTCACCTGCAAATAGTGACAGTTCTACTTCTTCCTTTCTGATTTAGATGCTTTTCTTTTTCTTGACTAATTGTGACTAGTACTTCCAATACTATGTTGAATAAAAGCAGTTGTAATGTGCATTTTTATCTTGTTCCTAATCTTAGAGGAAAAGTTTTCTTCTTTTCACTGTTGAATAAGATGTTAGTTGTGGATTTGTCATAAATGGCCTTTATTATGTTTAGGTACATTCCCTCTATAAACACTTTATTGAGAGTTTTTATCATAAATGGATGTTGGATTTTGTCAAATGATTTTTCTGCATCTATTGAGATGATCATATGATTTTTATCCTTTTTGTTAATATTGTGTATGATGTTGCCTGATCTGTGGATGTTGAGCCATCCTTGCATCTTTTGAATAAATCCCACTTGATCATGGGTATGATCCTATTGGTATATTGTCGAATTCTGTTTGCTAATATTTTGTTGAGGATTTTTGCATCTACGTTCATCAAGGATATTGGTCTATAATTTTTTTTGGTGGTATCCTTATCTGGTTTAGGTATCAGAGTAATGCTAGCCTCATAAAATGGATTTGGAAATGTTCCCTCCTCTTCAGTTTTTTGGAAGAATTTGAAAAGGATAAGTATTATCTATTTTTTGAATGTTTGTTGGAATTCACCAATGGAGATATCTGGTCTTGGACTTTTAATTCTTGGGAGGTTTTTGGTTACTGACTCAATCTCCTTGCCAGTAATCAGTCTATTCAGATGTTCTGTTTCTTCATGATTCAGTCTGGGAAGATCATATGTTTGTTGGAATTTATCCATATCTTCTAGGTTGCCCAAGTTGTTGGTGTATGATTGTAGTAGTCTTTTATGATGCCTTATATTTTTATGGTACCACTTGTATTTTCTCTGTTATTTTTTATTTTATTAGAGCCCTCTGTTTTTCTTGATGACTCTAGCTAAAGGTCTGTCAATTTTGTTTATCTTTTCAAAGCTCTTAGTTTCAATGATCTTCTATTTTTAGTCTATGCTTCATTTACTTCATTTCTGATCATTATTATGTCCTTCCTTCTACTGACTTTGGGCTTTGTTCTTCTTCTAGCTCCTTTAGGTGTACAGTTAGATGTTGTTTTGAGATTTTTGTTTCTTGAGGTAGGCCCGTATTGCTATTTTTCCTCCCACACTGCTTTTGCTGTATCCCAAAGATTTTGGTATGTCATATTTGTTTTACTTTTCTCTAGGTATTTTTAAAATTTCTCCTATGATTTCTTTGATCCATTGGTTGTTCTGTGGCATGTTATTTAATCTCTATACTTTTGTGGTTTTTCTAATTTTTTCCTTGTAATTAATTTCTATTTTCATACCATTGTGGTCAGAGAAGATGCTTGATATGATTTCAATCTCCTTTAATTTATTGAGACTTGAGTATCCTGGAGAATGTTCCATGTGCACTTGATAGGAATGTGTATTCTGTTGTTTTTTTTTTGGATAGGATGTTCTGTATATATCCAATATCTAGTCTAACGTCTCATTTAAGGCCAGTGCTTCCTTATTAAAGTACTGTTTGGATGATCTATCCATTGATGTAGGAGGGTGTTAAAGTCTCCTGCGTTAATTTCTCCATTTAGGTCCACTAACTTTGCTTTATATATTTTGGGTGGAGTGCCCTTAGGTTGGGTGTGTGTGTGTATATTCATTATATAGTTCTTTTATATATAATGTTGAACTGACTGCTTTATTATGATGCAGTGCCCTTCTTTGTCTATTAGTGAGTCTTTGTTTTAAAGTCTATTTTGTTTGCTATGAGTATAACTATACACTAGCTTTCTTTTCACTTCCATATACATGGAATATCTTTTTGCATCCCTTTACTTTCAGTCTGTATGTCCTTCTTAAGTGAGTCTCTTGTAGGCAGCATATACATGGGTCTTGTTTTTTAAATCTGTTCAGCAACTCTGTGTCCTTTGGAGAGTTTTGATCGTTTACACTGAAAGTGATTATTGATAGGTATGTACCTATTGCTATTTTGTTGATTGTTTTCTGGCTGTCTTCATAAGTTTCTCTGTTTCTTCTTCTCTCTTTTCCCTTGTGGTTTGATGGCTTTCTTTAGTGTTATATTTAGAATCCTTTCTCATTACCTTTTGTGTATTTACTGTAAGTTTATCAGTGATTGAGTGATTGATCCACTACTGTTACTATATCTTTACCTTTTCCAGTGGGATTTTTCCTTTCATATATTTTCTTGTTATTAATTAGTGCCATTTCTTTTCAGTTTAGAGAAATCTCTTTAACATGTCTTACAAGGCTGGTTTAGTAGTGATGAACTTCCTTAGCTTTTACTTATCTGGAAAATTCTTAATCTCTCCTTTAGTTCTGAATGGTAACTTTGCTGGGCAGAGAATTCTTGGTTGGGTTATTCTTTCAGCACTTTGAAAATGCCCTGCCACCCTCTTTTGGCTTGCAAAGTTTCTGCTGAAAAAACTACTGGTAGCCTTATGAGGTTTCCCTTGTATGTGGTAAGTTGTTTTATTCTTGCTGCTTTTAAGATTATTGTTTATCTTTAACTTTTACCATCTTAACTATAATGTATCCTGGTATGGATCTCATTGGATTTATCTTATTTGTAACTTTCTGGTTTCCCAGACCCATATGTCTGTTTTCTTCCCCACATTAGGGAAGATTTTTGTTACTTCTTCAAATAAACTTTATGGCCCTTTCTCTCTCTCTTCTTCTTCTGAAGCCCCTATAATGGAAATGTTATTCCACTTGATGTCTCAAAGGTCCTTTAAGAGATCTTCATTTAAAAAAATTCATTTTTCTTTTTGTCACTCTGGGTGAGTTCTGTTGCTTTCTCTTCCAGCTTGCTGAGCTGATCTCTAACTTCATCCAATCTGCTATTAAACCCCTCTAGTATATTTTTTCAGTTCAGTTATTTCATTCTTTAGCTGTTTAGTCAATTCCTCAGCAACTTGTTTATCTTATATTTTCTTTTTTTTTTTTTGAGGATCTCACTGTGTTTATCCATTCTTCTCCCAAGTTTGGCAAGCATCTTTATGACTGTTACTTTGAACTCTTTTTCAGGTAGATTGCTTGTCACCATTTCACTAATGTCTTTTTCTGATGTTTTTTCTTGTTCTTTCATCTGGACCATATTCCTCTGTCTCCTCATTTTGCTTGACTCTCTGAGACTGTTTCTATGTATTAGGAAAATCAACTAGTTCTCTCAATCTTAAAGGAGTGGACTTGTATAGGAGATGTCATGGGGAACCCAGAAGCTCAATCCTCTCTGACCACCAGAGCCAGGCTCTCATGGGTCATACCCTGTGTGGATTGCATGCACTCATCTGCTGGGGCATAGCTGCAGCACAGAATTGGAGAGGGCTGGTGCCTGGCTTGGCTGCAGTGTGTAGCTGGTAGGGTTCTCAGTTGGGTGTGCCCACTGGCTATAGCAGTTTAATGGTATAGTTACAAAATAGCATTAACCTTAACAAGGTGGAATGAGGTTGCAAATATGGCACTTGCCAATGTTTCCATCCCTGGAGAAAGTTCCAACGGTTTCCTGCCTCTACAGAAGGCAATTTGAGATTAGTAAGTGGGTCTCTTTCATATATGGTCTAGGCATTTTTCTAATTGGTGTTTTGGCCCTGGGTGAGTTAGTCTGCATGAGTCCTTTAAGAGTAGGTTCTCTGTTCCCTACAATTGTATGGTTTTCCTGGACATAATTCCCATCAGTTTTCAAAGCCTGAGGTTTAGGCTTGTGTAGGATCTAAGGGCAGGGGTACTAAGTATAGAGCACAAACCCCTCATTCCTCATTGAAAAGTTCTGTTTTTTTTTTTAGATCCCTCCTAATTGTGGATTGCCTGAGGTGGGTCTTTTTTTTTTTTTTGCCTTTCCTACCAGTCTGCATACTGTCCTTTTTATCCTTTGTTCTGAAGGCTCTGTTCATCCAGTTTTCCGGTCTTTTGGAGAAGAAATTGTTCCATATGCCATACCTGTGGGAGGGAATGAGTTCAGGGTCTTCCTGTGCCACTATCTTGAATGGATTCTCTCCTTTTCTTATTGCCAGCCATAGCTTGCTTTCTTACAAGCTAATGAGTCTTGGGTATAGCTGATGTGCAAAGTTTCTGAAAAGGAAAATGACTTTGCTAATGGATTATGCCCTGACCATGGCATTCTGGCAGATATTTCTTCCTGGGAAGAGAGTAAAGTATTTTCCATTTTATAAATTATGAAAAATCAGTCCCTCATCATTTGTCTATAGTATTCTATCAAACTGTGCCAAACAGCTTTATTGTTTGAATCGTTGATTTCCAGGCTTATACAATAATCCAAGTTTTATTAATAGTACATAATTACCACATACTTCAATTTTCTATAAACACAAAAATTTGGTAATTAGCTTTAGAATTATATTACAATCTGAAAGTAGAATCACAATGGTTACAAATGCCATTGTGTGTTACACTTCTAAAAATAAAGAAATAAAATGTTCATTATCTTGTCAATGACTCAACCCCATACAAAGCCCTTGGTGGAATTGCCCAGTATTCATTCAACTGCTTTGTACAGGCCCTGGGGATTTGTGGCAAAGAACATGGCATTGGTGTGAAAGCTCATAAACGAGGGCCTTGTCCCTCTGCCTCATAGAATGGCATTTTTAGTGTCCAGATGAGACATGGCACTTCTTACATTATTGCTGCCTTTCCCTAAATGATATTGAACCACTAATCTCTTTCTCCCAAGAAAGAAACTTCTTGTCCAGCAGGACCCACTGCTTGTTAACACAAATGTATTAACTCACTTTGACCACTAAGAGGCCATCAGCTACATTCTGGGGGAACAAGAGAAGGGAGTGCTGTGAAAAGCTGTTTGTGAAGTGGGTAGAATCTCAGGCCTTGCAGCTAAGCCAGCCATTCCATACACCTAAAGTCTGGAATCTATCTGTTCGAGGTATCTTTGCACAATTTTGGATTCTTCTTCCTTAAATGGAAATTTTGGGATCCAGCCCAGTGGGTAAGCTGTGATGGTATGTAGATCCAACTTTCTCAAGGAAGTTCACTGTTTTCATTTCTATGAGATGCAGTGGAGTGGAGTGGGATGAGCAGAGGCCTGAGAGCCTGTTTTTGTTGCAGGTTATGCTGTCGTTCTGCTGCAGGGCTTGGATTCCTTACCTTCTCTCATCTGTTTTTTGAGAGCTTTGTTTCTGAATTTGAAAGAGGAAAATCTTGACTCTTTAAGTGGAGGAGGACTGGCAGTCTATTCAGGGTACCTTCCCACTCACCTTTCAGTGTTCTCAATGTCCGCGGAAACCTGCCGGGAATGTTGCTGAATGTCCACAGGGGATGAGGAAGAGTCCTCTAGAGCAGGTGTCTCAGCACTCTCCTCGATTTTGCAATCCAAATTTTTGGTTCCCCCGCCGGGCTCCTTTCCTAAGGGAGAGGGAGGGGTGTTGGTAAAGAGAAGGGGATAATAAATCATAAATGCAGTTCTGTACCCAAAATGCTATTACAAAGATTGGCTATGCTTTGAGTCAAATGTTCCATTAGCCTTGATGACTTTCTGAACACTAAAATTATCTATTTATCTAATCTATATATATTATTTATGTCTATATGCCTGTATATCTAAAATGGGTATGTGTATATGTGTGTGTGTGTGTGTGTGGCATATTTTCAGAACATTCTGGGACAGATAAGTTGAGATCACTGCAACCTGAAGATCAAGATAAAAATAAGGACCCTGTCTTTGATGGAATGTTGGTACTCTGTAACCCATTCTTAGTTAGATCAGGTTAGCTTCGGACAGGGAATTCAGCCTGTGAAATCATGCTGTCTTTCAGTCCCCTGATGCAGGTATGAGGGCCAGGAGCAGGTGACACAGAGCAGGCAGAATGAGAGCTCCTGCTGTTCTGATTCTGGCACTGTCTCTCTTGGCCTGTGGGAAGCAGCATAGATCACAGGCCTGCCTTCCATTTCCTCCGCTCTCCAACCTTTTTCATGAGAAAAGAGCCTGGCCTCCTCAAGATGCAGCCTTACTCTGCTGAGACCATAAAGTGGCATCAAGTAAAGTGTTGTGTGCTGGGTAGGCATCCACAGCCAGGCACCGCCAACCCACTAAGACAAGAATTTATGTTCAAAGTAAATTTCTCTCAGAACTTGGCTGATATTGTTTTCTTATCTTCTAGTTAAATCCAGAGATACTTTTTATGTAGCCTGTTTATAGCTCTCTAAAAAACTTTTAGGGTGCTTTCTTTAAATTTTTTTGTGATGACATGGCTCCTAATATGTTTAGGTATTGTTTCTTTCTATATTATTCTTTTGTGACATTTTATTGGCATCTACAATCTATATTCTCCCATTTTTCATTTAAAAAATTTACAAACCTACAGCAAACCTGAAAGAATAATACAATGGACACTCAAATATTTAAGTTTCACCAATTGTTAATATTTAGCTATATTTTCTTTTATGTCTCAGTCTCTCTTTACATATGCATGGACATTTATATTTTTAATTACATATAAAATATGTAATATACAGATATTTTTTTGTAAACTATTTAAGAGTAAATTGCAGGTATTAATGATACTTTATTCTAATTACTTCAGTATATATTGCCTAGAGAACAAGGGTTCTTCCCTACCTCAAAACAATTATTGCACAAAAAATTTTACTTTGATTCAATATGATACAATACAATTTGATACAAATTATTACTTAGTATATAGTCTATATTCAAATTTCCACAATTGTTCCAGTAATGTCCTTTATAGCTCTTTTTAAAAAATAAAGGGATCCAGTTAAGGATCTGCACTGTATTTAGCTTTCCTGTTTCTTTATTCTCCTTTTATCTGGAATAGCATCCTTATCTTTTTCATCTTTTATGCCATTTGATATTTTTGAAGAGTCCAGGCCAGTTGTCTTACAAAATGCCTTTCAGTTTGGGTTTTTCTGATGGTTTCCACATGTCTAGATTCAGAGTAAACATTTTTGGCAAGAACAGAGAAATGATACTGTGTTCCTCTCTGTGCAGTGCTTCAGAAAGCACAGGAGCCACTTTGTCCCATTATTAGTTTTAGTTACATATTACTGATTGCTTGATTTAGGTAGTTTCTTCTAGCTTTTACTATTGTAGGTGCACACTTTTCACTTTGTAATTATTAAGTAATCTAATGCAGTATTTTATTGAAATGTTACAGCTTTTTCAACTTAAAATATTTTCTTAAGTTTGGGAAGTTTTTCTATTTTTCTTGATTCTAGTCTCTATTTTCTCCATTCTTTCAGAATTCCTATTTCATATGGGAGTCTCTGGATGTTTCATCTGTATTTCTTAGCTATTTCCACAATTTCATATTTATTTTGGGGGATGAATTCTGGGAGAACACCTTGACTTGATTTTTCAGTTGTCTCTTTTAGTCTCTGAGTATTTCCATTATAGTAATTGTTAAGCACTGTAAGGGTCTGAGATTTTACTCTACCTGTGAGTTGGCCTGCCACAGTTTCATGGATACTGGAAGAAGACATAAGATTCTTGGGTCAAAGACAAAGACAGCTTATTACCGCAGAATAGCAGTTGCCCAAGTATCAGCAGTTTTGTTGGTTTCTTGAGTCCTAGTTTCCGCAGGATGACAGAAAAGGGTCAGATCATACCTGCACACACAAGGGGCTGTGTGACAGGAGAGAAACTCTAAGCTTAGGTTACTGAGTCTTCTGTAAACATGTCTGCCCTCTGCTCCACAGGGAAATATTTTCACTGCACTAAATAGTAAACATGCCTTTCTCTGGAAAGAGTCTGTCTCTATTTTCCAAGGAGTTTACTAAATAAACATCCTTGAAAAGATGGTATAAAACAAAGGGCAGGTAGTGCCTCACTGTACAGACATACATGAGACTGGAAGAGGATTTTCTCCAACACTAATTAACCTATATATTGAGTCTCTATTTGATTGATAACATTTTTGTTTTTAACAAATCTAGCTGCTTCCTTTTTGTTATAGCCAATTATGTTCTATGAGTGTGACAGATTCATAAATCTCTCTGAGAATACTGATGAAATATATTTTAAATTCTTTAACTGTTTCCACTTAAAAATTGTTCTTCAAGTGTTAGTTGTTTTTTGTGTTTGTTTTTTCCCTTTTGGGTGTTGCCTTTTCTTAAAAATTTAGTCATCCCTAATGTTTATTCAGATTTGTCTTTGAGGATCTCTGTTTACCTACCCTTCTGATTGCAGTGGCCTCCTTCTAGTCACTGTGAAGAAGGCAGGATGTGTGGCTAGACCATCTGTGTCCAATGCTCCTCTTCCGGGTTTTGCTTCTCATCTCCAGTGATGAGTTACCTGGGCACTTGGCCTGTTTCCGGGCCCCTTGCCGGCTCTGAGTTTCCTGTTTAGAACTCCTACTCCAGTGAAATACACTCAGCAATTTGTCTGGGACAAAACACTGGAGTCATACATTCACTTTCTTTTTCTTCTACAGCTGTCCTTATGGAGGCTCAGAGTTATTTCACACTCTGCTCTGCTTTGCTGCGCAGCCCTGACACTCACACCAGGCGTCCTCCTGGGGCGAGCAGTGATGTCTCTCTTGCTCGGTGTGGAGTGGCTCAGCTTCTTGTGAATGCAATTTCAAACATTAATTTCCTTGACAACAGTTCCAGAAATACTTCTTGTGATTTGCATTTGTTGATTCCAAGGTTGAAGTATCTCTGGAATTGCTTTTAATTTTGTGATTTTTCTCCTGCATGAATTTCTTCTGTTTCTTCTTGAGTTTTTTTTTTTTTTTACCAGTTATGGTTTCCTCTGTTCATTTATATCCACCAGTCCAACCCCAATTACTTTCTGACTTTGAAAAATTCCTCAAAACTCCTGGTTCATTGAAGTTATCCTTCCTTGTTTCTTAGGGGCGTGGACGACTTCTGTGTTTACCAACCTCTGTTTTCCTTTTACCATTAGGAGGGGCCATGTGACAGAGTTATGGCCAGTAGATTCTGAACAGGCGTGATAATGTATGCCTTTCCAGACTGGTTCCCAAAAATCCTTCCATATGATCCTCCTTGCCTTCTTCCCTGCCCCGCCCCCCATTCCCGGGCATTGGATGGACGTGGAGAAGGGACAGAACGACACTGCATGCACCACTCTGGGTCTGGCACTGGACATGGCATGGATAATAAAGGACTCTGATTGTTCTGTTTCATTGAGATTTGGTATTGTTTCATGCAGCAGTAAACCTACCCTGACAAAGACGAGAACTAATATGGGTTTATTCATTTTATCTTTTTCTGTTATTTCAGTGGATTTGCAGCAGTTTCAGTCCAACGTATCTGGACAAGTTTTTCCTCCAATTATGCTCCCTTTCTTTTGACAACAGATGCAGAATGAAAGCAATGCCTTCATTTGTTCAATAATCACCATGCTAAAAGCTGGGGATGCAATGGTGAAGACACTCAAGGGGATCAGATCCAGGCAAGACAAGAAAACCAGACAAATATCCTCAGTGTGACATGTGCCAAAATCTGTACCATGGACATGCTTAGGGGCACATTGGGTGTGCATCAGCCCAGCTCTGCAGGACCAAGAAAAGCTTCCTGCAGTGAGTCCATCTATATTATGACCAAAAGAAAGTATAGGAGTTGACCAGGCAAAAGGGGCGGGTGTAGGTGGGGTAAAGTAGGTAATATGTTTCAGGCAGAGGAAGCAATTGAAAAGAACTTACAAGTTCAGGTTCTTCCAAGTAGTTCAAGATGTGTTGAGTGTGGGCAGGTTATGGGGTGGGGGGCATGGGCAAGTCAGGTGGGGGTTGAGATATGAGGCTGGAAAGATTATCAGGGTCCATTCACAGATATTCTTCTGAGTACATTAAGGAGTCAGCAGAGAAGCACCCCACAGACCTGGACAGTGGTCAGTTTGAGTTCTTCATCCCTGGCTTTCCCCCTGACCAGCTGTCCTTAGGATGGAGCCTCTGTTCTCCAACACTGGGTGGACTCTCTGTCCTCGCAAGAAAGGGGTCAACCTGCATCCAAATGGTAATTTCAAGTCGAGGTTTTTCTTTGCCCAAGAAAGTGAATTTGCATTTAAAATCATTTCTTATTATGAAATGAGAAACACTGTCCCCTGAAAAATCTATTTCAGGCCTCAGTGAACAAATATTTGCTTGGGGAGGGGATGAAGGTAGGGTAGACAGACAACCTTTAGAGCACCTGAAATCACACTAATAAGCCGGCTTCATCACTGCTCAGAACCAGAATGCCAAATAGTCGGCCACTTTCCTCAGGGCCTTGCAAAGCTTTTTGCCTTCAGCTCCTTTGGGATTTCCAAGTATTTTTAGCCTGTTTACAGATAACATAATAGGCATGTCTGAGGAAAAGTTAAGGGAAACCACCCATGAAGCACATACCAGTTTGGAAGGCTGGTTATTCTTATATTCGTGAGAAATGGT